ACTTTTCTCGTCTCCCCTCTTTCTTTCTCTCTCCTCGTCTCACCCTCGCCCTCTGTCCAGTCTTTCTACCCTTTGCCATCCCACTTTTCCCGTTCGTTTTTCTTCTGTCATTCACTTGTCAAATTACATGTTTGCCGAGGAGAAAGAGATGGAGGAGGAGGAGGAGGAAGGAGACATAAATAAGCAAACAGACAAAGGAGTAAGCATCACATTCACACAAACGTGAACGCAGATATTAGCATCAGCTGATGACGTAGTTGCGGGAGTCCAGAAGGATTGCACCCCCTCCCCTCCCCTCCCTTCTCCTCCACTCCCCTCCCTTCTCCTCCACTCCCCTCCCTTCTCCTCCCCTTGTTCTGCGTCCTTCCGTTGAGCGCTAGGATTAAGATTAAGAGTAAGAGAAAGGAAATGAAAAAAAGGGAACAAAGAAAGATGAGGCCATGCTTGTTCGTCCCTTGTTGTGCGCACTCTTGCCTGGTACGTTTGTCGATCGTCGCTTGCCATATTTTGTGTCATTAAACAGGTGGTGTGCTTTGGGGTGTCGGGCGCTGTTTGTTTTGGTTCGGGATTCCTCGATTTCCTTTTTTCCTCTTTACGGTTTCGCTTTTTCTCTATTGTTATGGTGATTATGATTATTTCTATTGTTATTGTTGTTTATTATTATTATTATTATTATTATTATTATTATTATTATTATTATTATTATTTACCTAAGAAGAATCGTTAACAGTCTGTGCCTGGGGGGAGTATTTAGGAAAGGGGGTGGTGTTCTCTCTAGTGCGGTGATGATGTGATGATCGCTGAGGTGATGAACTGGGCTAGAGAGCGGTGGTGGTGAAAGAAAGAAGTGTGTGTGGTGATGGAGTATGTAAGTGTGTGATAACATGAGGTATTGATTCCCGGTGTAAGGGAGGGAGGGAGGAATGAGGGAGAAGGGGTGGGGGAGCAGTAGGGTACGTCCCCGTCCTGGCTCCGTTGCGACTCTCTCTCTCTCTCCCACCTTCCTTCCTCCACCTTCGCTCTCCCTTTCTTCTCCTGCTAGCACTGCCTCTCTTTCTTTAATTATTTATTTGTTTATTGCTCTTTCTTTCTCTTTCCTTCCTTTCTTTCCTCCTTCCCTCTTTCCTTCTTTCCCTCTCTATGCCCGCTCTCCATATTTTTTTTACTTGCTCTACCCTCCACACGTCTCTTTTTCATTCCTCTCCAAGCGTCTCTTCGCTTCCCATCCCGTCGCCATGCTTTGGGTCTCTGTTTTATCACCCCTCCTCTTTCCCTCTTTTCTTTTTAAGTGAGCACGGTGTTGCACTCTGCCCGGGATCTGGGAAGAGAGGAGGCTGAGCCGGGAAGGGGTGAGGAGGAGGAGGAGGGGGAGGAGGGAGGCAGGCAGGCAGGTCGAGCGTTGAGAGGGAGGGAAAGGACAAGCAAGGGCGGGGAGAGCAGATTGGGTGTGATGGAGAGAGACGGATGGAAAGGAGAGAAGGGAAAGGGGAAAGGGGAAGACAAAGGCAGGGTTGAGTGAGTGAACTCTCTCTCTCTTTCTCTTTCTCTTTCTCTATCTCCCTCTTTCCAACTCCCTCTCCTTCTCCATCTCCCTCTCCTTCTCGTTTCTTTCCGATTTGTGTATTTGCCCCTCCGAAATGATGATGATTATTATTATTGGTATTGGTATTATCATTATTGTTGATGTTGTTGTTATTACTGTCATTATTATTATTATTATTATTATTATTATTATTATTTTCATTATAATTGTTATTATTACTACTATCATTATCATCATCATATTATTATGATGATGAATATAACCGCTTCCCTCCTCCCCCTCCCTCCACACTGCACGACCAGGATCTCCACGTGCGAGCTTCGGCAACGTTCATTCAGGCCGCTGTGCTCAGCCTCGCCACCTCACTTACGTCTTTGCCCGGCGCTTAAGGAGACAGGGCCCTGGCGTAACGGAATCTCGTTTTCTCTCTCTTTATTTCTTCCCTTTCCGTTGCTTTTTTTCTCTCTTTTATAGGGAAGGGGATGACGGGGGAAATGTAGGGGATGGATGGAGTGCGTGTCTGGGTTTTTGGCCATTTTGGGGAATGCATGATCAGGTGTTGCGGCGGCCAGATGGTGGTCGGACGGTGGCACTGTCAGCTGGTGGCGTGGCGTCGTGGCCAGGTGCAGCCAGGACGTCACGGGCGTTTGTATGTCAGTTCTCTGCTTGGACTTCATGCTTTCAGTCGGGCCTTTTTCGCGTCTGTATGAGTCTTGTGTGTTTTTTGGTGTAGGTTTTTGTGGTGTGTGGAGCTGGGCAGGTTTTGCTGACACGGTTTCTCCTGGGCGCCAATTCCATGAGGTCGCTGGGTACGTGATACCGGCCCCCCCCCCCCTCCTTTCCACCGGCCTGTCAAGGAAGCAGAGGTGTGAAGGGTCGCGCATCGACACCCGCTTTGTTCCGCTGCCTCAACGTCCATCTCTTAACTTTATCTGCGGCTGCTGCTCCTCCGCGCTCGTCCCCCTTCCGGCCCCGCATGCTTCGGGCCTCCCCTGCACGGAGCGCATCGTCACGGCGGTCGCGCTCCGAGGCGAGGAGGAAAGGAAGGGGGAAGCGAAAGGGAAGTCGGTCCTTCAGCAAAGGATCCTTCCTCCTCCGCCGCTGCTGACCCGCCTCGTGCTGAGTGACGTCACCCCCGCCCCGCCAAGTGGAGGAGGCGGGAAGGGGGCGTTGCGTCCCTCGGCGAAGTGCGTTCCTCCCCTTGGCCTCGCTCGTTCCGAAGTGCCTGATGAATGCATTAAATGAAATAAAACTTGCGATTAGACCTAATAGTCATGCCATTGTGTTTATTCAGAGAATGAGCGCGTGATGGACCGGGCGGGCATTCGAGTCGCGCTCCCGGTAATTTTCTGATAGTTTGTGTGGCACCCTGACTGCGAGTGCCGTGTGTGCCGCGGCATGGCAGCCCTTGTGTGAGTTACGAGGGGTACGGCTCACCTCGCCTAGCGGGAGCGTGGTGGCGGAGCTGGGGCGGCTGCTAGTGGTCGATGGTGGAGCCTGCCAGGAGGAAAACGTGTTGGCGGACCTCTATTTGTCGAGCGGGAGAGGACACATGTAGCAGCAGCAGCAGCAGCCTGGCCCTGCCTGGTGGCCAGGCCGGCCCGCCCCGTCCCGGCGTGGTGACCACTAACTTCCAGCAGGATTATGGATTTGTCAGAGGACTGGATGGGGTGGCGGGAAAGCTGTGCCGGCATTGTTAGCCGGTTGGGGAAGTGGGGAGGAGAGGAACTGGAGATGATGGGCCGGGGGAAGGGAGGGTTTGTTAGGGCAGTCAGTACGTTGTTGGGGGGAGGTAGCGGGAGGGACGAGGTGGTCGTGGTGGGGCAAGAGGTGTGGGGGGGGGGGTGAGGCGGGGGGAGGAGCAGGAGGAGGAGAGGAGGCTGTGGGAGTCTGCAGCGAGAAACGTAAGATCAATAGACAATCACCCAGTGGTGAGTACTTAATGGTCTTTGCCAAGTGTGTGAGGATTGGTGACTGAGACTGGAGAACATGTTGGGGGAGTGAGATGGCCCGGGAGAGCGTAGTGGCAAAGATGACGGTGTATTAACGGGACGGTAATCTGCGGTGGGTGTTGTAGCGGGGTCGACCGCCAACAGCAGCGCCAGACCCCGCTACAGGGGCCGTGTGGCAGCAGCGTGTGCATGTGTCCGTTGGGGAGAGCGAGTGTGTGTGTGAATGTTGGTGGTATTTGGTTGGTATCTGCCTTAAACAGAAAGGCCGCAAGGTGCGTGATGATGGGCGATGCTACGTGTGTGACAAGAGTCCGGGGCGGAGTGTGTCCGCTCATAGCTCCATACGGTTAAAATTTTGTCGCTTTGTCTTTGTTTAGGCCGGGAGGGCGGGAGGGCGGCCGAGCTGGCAGGCAGGCAGGATAGGCGTACGACTGAGTTTGAACGGCACTCGACCTTCACTTCCCACGGAAAAGTTCTCAAGGTTTCATTCATTCCCCGACCCCTCATTGAAGAATATCGTAATGCTATAAATACTTCCCACGGTTTCATATATTGATTTTGGGTGGAGAAGGTTTGGAGGGTATGTTGTCAGTAGAGCAGGTGCTGCTCATTTTGGGCTATTGCTGCGGTGACTTACGGCTTGTAATTTATGCGCTTGTATACGCATGCGCTAAATACTTTCGTGTTCGCTTGAATAAACAAAGCAACTCTGATGGTAATGTCCGCAAAAGATGTTAAACAACGAAATCTCGGCTCTGATTGTTAAACCCACTCCAAAGTCCAGAGGCGATCTAATCTAGTTTCCTTACCATATGCCGCGCGTGGCTGGCCTTTGGTAGTGTGCATTATTAAGGACAACCCCTTTGATGTTGCGCCTCCATCGTTTCCAAGGAGAAACTTCCCGGCCGCTGTGGTAGCTCGTGCCAGCGGAGAACCAGACAGCTGGAGGAGTGAAACGATCATCATTTGGCATTTCCTTGGCAAGTCGTTAAGAAGAGAAACGTTAAGGGTGTGGCTTTGAAGGATAATTTCAGGCGTGAAGTTTCACGGGCAATTGCGATAAAACTGGCTTTAAAGAAGCTGTTGCAGGATTATCATCGGTTGAATAAGTGATAATCATTCTTTCCTTCCTGCCTAGCATAAAACGAGAAAGTATTCGAAATCTTCCACTCTTCTCAGTCAATAACTCGGCAACAAATCAAGGCTGCGTTTCCCGCTCAAGAGGAATTATGATTGGCCTGCAATGTTATGACATTTCTCTGCCGTCGCTTTGTGCGGAATCGGTTGTCTTGTCTCGTATTTATTACTGCTGCCGTTCATGCCTGTGGTTTTATGATTTTGCGCTGGTTTACTTTCCTTGTATTTTGGAATAGTGCGTTCATCATTTCTCTTTTCATTCAAGCAAGTTGGACTTATTGTGTTGATTAGTCACCATGATTATTCATGAGTGACTGAATTTTAAGAATTTATTGCATTTGTCTGAAGCAAATTTTCTTATTTTTCAGAGGGCATTCGCGGATCTGGGACTGGGAGAACGGTTTGTCCTATGAGTGCCGAACACTTCTTTTTAAGGCTCTACATAACCTTATTGAAAGGTAAGGTTGTCATTTTTTGTATTTTTAGATGTTGCAAGAATCTGGTAATCAAATGTTATACGATTTTTCTTGGTTATTAGTGTGTATATTTTATTATTGAGATAAGCTATTATTATTAGCTGTACCTGTCACAGATTATTTACTTTTTCATTGTCAACTTTTGCTTACTGTTCCGATTTCCCCAGATGTCTGCGAACGGGACTTCGTCCGGCTGGGTCGTTTGGTTTGTCCAACCCTACGAAGGCCCGGAGGGTGTTCCTGGCAACAGGAGGTGAGTATCTTCATCTGTTACCAGATTAAGAAAAAACGTCCTATTTTCGTGTCAATAACTACACTTTTTATTATCTTTGTCAACATTTGATGTAATTTATCAGAGACTACCATTTCTTTTGTTTCCATTTCTGTAACAAGTTTTAAACCTTCGCCTTTGCTTTCCAGTACTCACCTGTCATTCAGTCTGTCATTCTCGTCCATGGCGAAAGCATTGTATGTGCCAGTGTGGACGTTCGGCAACACCCCGTGTCCGACGGCTCACGCGGCGACACTGCTTTTAGCACAGCAGTCAAATCATGGCATACCAGGTGGGTTGGAGGAAGAGGCTTTGTTGTAAAAATTGGTGTGACTTTAGGAAGGTGTGTGTGAGTGGAAGTATCGCGACTGTTCCGTGTGTTATGGGATATTTTTATGTAGTTTGTTCATCTATCCCTATGTGTATATGTATGTAGAATGTGTCTTGATGTAGATTCTCTCTCTCCTCTCCCTCTCTCTCTCTCTTCTCTCTCTCCTCTCTCTCTCTCTCTCTCTCTCTCTCTCTCTCTCTCTCTCTCTCTCTCTCTCTCTCTCTCTCTCTCTCTCTCTCTGTGGTGTGTGTGTGTGTGTGTGTGTGTGTGTGTGTGTGTGTGTGTGTGTGTGTGTGTGTGGTGTGTGTGTGTGTGTGTGTGTGTGTGTGTGTGAGTGAGTGAGTGAGTGAAGTATGATATATGAATAATTATGTACATATTATATTTGATGGATGAATGAAGACAAAGCTAAATATTTTTGTGTAAGATGATTTCTAATGTACATGTACCCACTCATATACACTGTCACACCCACATACTCATGCATGCATACATATACCATGCAAACATATCCACACAAATACACATAAACATGTACATCAGCATCAATTTACCCACTTTCATTCTTATAACCATGTACATATATATATACATATACACATACATATAACCCCCCCCCCACACACACACACACCACATTAACACATATATATAACCCCCCACACCACACACACACACACATATACACACACATATCATATATACACATACACACTCATACATAAACACACTCGCACTCATATACACTCACACTTAAACACACATACATACATACATACTCACATATACATATACCCCAATGTGCACACACACACACACAGCCCCCCCACACACGCACATTTCATATAAGACAAAATGAAGTAAAGTCATAGTGCATTGTTGTATTATAGCATAAGCACAGTTATTTTTAAATGACCCTTTACTCTCTTCAGTTATATTGGGCCCATATGGGTTGAGTGGCACCTTGACTGGTGTGAGTTATCGGCTGTCTGAGCCTTCAACACAGAAGCTGTTGGATGAGTGGAGACAATTCTTTCCTATTGAAACAAAGGCATCACAGGGAGACTCCCCAGAACCCACAATGCCTGCCGCCGTTGAGGTTATCGTGGGTGAGTGCATAGGGCAGTTTTTAAGTTACGAGATGTGGTAAATAGAATGCATATCTTATAATGATCAGTTACAACAAAGTCTGAAAATATGATAATAGAATCTGTACTCGAATGTTTCTTATAGAGTAAGCTATTTGGTTTCAGTATGTTTAAGTAATTTGAAACAAAAATTAGATTTTTATTAAGATCTGAAAGATCTTGGTTTCTGTAGCTGAGTAGATTTTCATGGCAAGTATTTGACATTGCAGGTGGCCACAAAATGCGTTATCCAACTTGTTACACATTAGTGACAGACATGGATGACTACTTAATGGCAAGTCGTGGTGGGACAGTTGTGAATACCAACACTGTTTCTCCTGGAGCTATGAAAGGTGGGCTTACAAATGATAACACCCCAGAGGGTAGTGACGGGACGAGCCTTCCCTCACACAATTCCCCCTTCACTGCCTCGATCCACACCTTACTAGCCCCTGGGTACTTGAGCTCTGGGGGACGAGGCCTCGGTTGGTCACGGGAGATGTGTGAGCGTGTCTGGCAGGACATAGTCCAGTGTCCAGGCCAGCAGCCCCCGGCACAGAATGATGGACTGACACCAGAGGGGACATTGACCCCTGCTGAAATTGCTGGCCAGTGGGACTTCTCAGACCCTGCAACGAAGATCAGCTGCTCCTGCGCCAAGTATGTTTGTCTTTTGGTGTTATGTTCTTGGTTGTTCAGTTTGAGTCTCTGATGAAAGTAGGTAACACAGCAGATTATTTTGGAACTTGCTTAATATGTATTATCTTACTTTACTTTTCCATTCTTTTATGATTCTTAAACTTATTATTTTTCATATTATATATTTCCATTTGAATTTTTATTATATAGGAAATGCAAATATATGTCTTTGAAATATTAGAACATTATTATTGCATGAATTAGATGTAAAGTTACATGTATTTTCTGATATTTATGACACTTTCAAATTTGATTTAGATGAATGTATCACACTCTTCTGTGCATGACGCATGAAAGTAAATGCAGGATGTTATTATGATGCCTGATTTTATGTTATTGTTTGTTTATAGACTTCACACTATGCAGCAGTACAGTGCAAATTCAGGAGTTGATAATGTGGGGAACAGAAAATAAGATACTTAAAGTTGCATTGATTTTTTTCTTTTTGAATTAGATTATTCTTTGTAGAGTAGTGATATGAATATGTTAATGGCTAAAAGAAAAGAAAGAAAATATCTAACTGTAGTGAATGAAAAAGGCGTGAATTCGGAATATGGTGAAGGGTATATGTGAGATGTTAAATGAGGTGACAAACAAATTCATACATTTTTTTATCATTTATTTGTTATTATTTCTTAAATTTTTCAAGAATAGAAAAACATTAAATTTAGACAAGTTTAATTTCTGAGAGTTCATATTAGACTGTATACCTTTTTACTAAACATTTTTAAAGTAAGAATAGTAGGCAATATTGATGGGTTGCAGAACCAAATCTCGACTATATATTTTTGCAGCAGATTATTGATTCGTTAAAGATGAGCCAGGGGAAGGGAGGTAATATCACGAATTGGTCAAATACACATTTACCAGTCTTGTTATTTTTTTTGGTTTCATTTTTGTAGGGTCCTGATTGATTTTGGCTAGGAGGTAAGGGGATGCAGGTGTTTGTTGGTGAAAATTACCCGTCTAGCACTTCTTGATTATTTTCCTAGACTATTTTCCAAGGTATCAGTTCAGGTCTACCACATAGCCATAGGAGGGGAAATATGCCATTCAATTTAATTCATATTTTAAACTTTGTGGGAGTCCTTCTTTGGAATGAAAGGAATTTTAGGGAATAGAATTGTCAGCTAATTTTTTAGATTTGATTTTTAGTTATCATTATATATGTTTTCATACTTGATTTTGTTTATTTTGTTTATTTTATATGTATCTGGACATTTAGAGTACTGTGGCCATTTATTTATTGCAATTTTAATGCAATAGTGTTCATTGCACAAGTGTTATGATCTCAGCTGTGTATGGTACAAGAGAGAGCTGCTGATGCTTGATCTTCCAACCATTGGTCACCTGTGCTTGTTTTGAGTGTTTGTGGAACTGGCCGTTGCAGGTGCAGAAGGGGTCGGGTCAGTAGTAAAGGGTGTAGCAGCAGTAAGGGCCGCGGGGAGAGAGGTGGTGGGGGAGGCGGGCGCCAGAGGGGGGCAGCAGCAGCAACTCCAACTCTGGCTGCATCCCCTTCCACAAGCGGTCTCCCCCAGCCCCACTACCCTCACCCGACGAAGTGGTCCTGGACCAGTGTGGCGTGACGGCCATCGAGGAGTCGGGACTAATGCAGGCCGCTGCCAGGTACCACTGCTAACTCTGTACAACCACCACCACTCACCACCACAGTCACTAAGCGAAATGAACACTGTACACTTTTAAAAAGTTTTTGATGCAGAACTATATAGTACTCTTGATTAATTTTGATTTTATATTTTATTCATTTTATTTTTTCCCCTATGTGTACATTTGTTGACACTCACCTTCAAATAACAGATTGTCACATATATGATATATATCTTTATCAGTCTTGGCAGAAAATTTATATATTATATATATATAAAATATATATGATACATATATATAATGTTTATAGATATACATATATATATATATACATACATATATATATACATATTATATGTATACATATATATATGTATATATATATATATATATACATATATATATATATATATATATATATATATATATATATATATATATATATATATATATATATGTTATATATTTATATCATTAACAAAGGATTCATCTGCCTCATGAGATTTCCTACATCTTATCACAACTGGAAACCCTCTAAGAAGTAAAACCATATTCTGTAGCTTCCATTTGTCTCCATTTAAAAAAGAGAGATGAAGATGATGAATTTAGTAATCCTGATTATAATATTGATTGACTTGAGTTTTAATGAGGTCATTTGAACATCTTGAATACAGTATTCAATATTTGTACCTTGTTTATTGTGCTAATCATGGGCTTAAACATAATCTAAATTTTAGGGAGCCTTTTTTTCGTTTATAATAATGATATTAAATGCTAGAGTACACTGGCATAAGCGCAGTTCACTTCCACACAACAATTTTCCACCAGATATTACAAACAGAAAAGTGCTTGCTGCTTTCTAGCAAAACTTAGTTCACATGACCAAAAAAAAAAAAAAAAATGATTTCGAAATTTGACTCAAACTACCATCAAGTGCCAGAAAGCCTTCTGCCTTATATTCCTCATTGATAAACCACTATGGCTGCAATATTTGCTTCATAAATTTTGATTTGTGTTCATTTATATTTTGTTGCTAGCATACATTAGATTTACAAAGTGGTTCATCTTCGATGTATACAAATGTAAAAGGACTGACACGTTCCACTCCTTACACCATGATTTGTGGAAGGTTTGTTTATCGGCAACTGTTGCTTCATTTGTGATGCTTCAAGAATCTAGAGGTTTAGCATATCACAAATGGCAGAGAGGCTAACTTGTACTCCTCAGCTGTTTTATGACAAGTGCTGAGAAACTAAGAGTGATGGTGGTGAAATAATGATTTATCTGACCCTTAGTGGCATAAGAAAATTGTACCAAAGAAAAGAAAAAGAAAAAAATCAGTATGAAGAGGTTTATATGACAGTACCCAAGAAAAGTTGATTCCCTTTGTGTGTTAGGAATTTATAAAATTTTGATTACCATTGCATGAGCTCTTTTTAATTTTTTAGGTGTCATAGATTTTAGAACCTTATTTTAAATATTTATTTTTGTGTGCCTTGCATCTTTAAATTGATTTAAAAGTTTGAGCTGTAGTCTTCTAGATTAAGTTTCTTTCAGTTTCTGTTTTGTATGTAGCTTGTCTTTGATTTATTTAAATTTACATTCCTTTACTTTACCAGTAATATAGCTGATTTGAGACCAGTGATGGCACCTGTAGCTGTAGTATTTGCCATGTAATATATTCTGTCAGGTGCATTACAATAAACCTCAAAATTGGGTTGTGGATGCTTTTGTACCACACATACATGTTTTCAAGATGCTTTACACCTGATGTGTCTCTCTCACAGACTGGGTGGAGCTGCAACACCTAGTGGAGGCAATGGAGCTGGGAGTTTCGGAGGATACAAGAGTGGTGGTGTGACAACCCCAGGTAGTGTTCCCAGTCTTCGGCTGACTGGAGTTGCAGATGGTCCTCCTCCATCAGTAGAATCTCCAGCCTCTGCCATTCCATCTCCACTCCCAACACCTCAGCCAGCCTCTGTGCCTCATCATGGTATGTGTCCCACAGTTCTAATTGAATAGTTACAGTAGGTGTGATACTACAGGCATTCCTTTGTGTGATACAGTTTTGACCCCCCCCCCCCTCTCTCTCTCTCTCTCTCTCTCTCTCTCTCTCTCTCTCTCTCTCTCTCTCTCTCTCTCTCTCTTCTCTCTCTCTCTCTCTCTCTCTCTCTCTCTCTCTCTCTCTCTCTCTCTCATATACCTTATATTTTTAGGGGATTGTTGCCTTAAAAAAATGAGTGGGAACAACTTTTAAATGTGAAGTGGTTGTATATATTCATGAATTCCTCTCTTTCTCTGCAGATCCCACCATGCCAACTTTGAGTCCCCATCCACCCCCATCCAATACATCAGTGGGTGATCCAACTACCCCTGCTGCTCTCGATTCCTTGGATGTGAAACCAAATATTGCTGATTTGATGGGCCCCAAGTCCATATCATCTCTCAACAATCAGGTATGCACATGGAATCTTGTTGCTTGTGGAGTGATTCAAGATGTGAACTTTTTTTAACATTGACAGACCTTTATCTGTTTTCATTGAGACTTCAGAGACCTTGATTTTTTTGTGTGTGTGTTTTCTCAACAGGGCATGTCTCCTTATCCTGGAAGTGAGAGAGGCAATGGTGTGGAGTCAAATGAGACCAGCAGTAGCCTGGGGGGCGGTGGAAGCAATAGCAGCAGTTTGCCAAGGGGACTAAAGCGGCCATCCCTACCAGGCACAGACTACCATTCTATACTAGAATTGGAAAAACCTAGTACCGTCCTCTATGACTACTCCAAATTAAATGCATGGTAAGTACTGGTGATCAGGGACTAATCGTACACATCTTGTTGCTCATTTGAAATTCTGTTGACCAGTAACTGTCAAACAGCTGATACTTATCTGGTGGGCAGAAGTTGCATAGTCATTGAGGCTGATGACTTTGTAGTGTTTTCATATTTTACATTATTATTGTCATGTTTCTATATTTTAGGTTGCATCATCCAGTGAAGAAATTTAAACCAGCTGAACCAAAGGCAGAGGAACCTCTATGGCCACCATATAGACCTGCACATATCCAAGAACACATGGAAGTCATCCATCGTGCAGAACCAAGCCAAGAGGTAATATAACCCAAAATTACAACATACCCTATGAAGTTCGGATTTGATACTGGTCAAGAAATGGAAATCATTATTTAGCATCAAAAGAAGAATTTTTCTCTCTCTTTTAGGGCTTTTTTTTTTTTCTTCTTCTTCTTCTTCTTCTGGAAATCTCAGTTACCCTGAAATGTAGCTTATACAGAGACAAGGGTAATTCATTTAAAGAAAATTAAGAAATTAACCAAATTGCTTTTGCAGATTCCTGAAGTGAATGGGTTACCAGCAAAACGTCCTGGTGGCATAAAGAGACAGGCTGACCCATATGACTTCGATGATGACATAGGCACAGGCACCACCCCAGAAACATTCAAACGGAAAGATGGCTTTGACAAGGAGGAGACCAAGACCCTGGGAGTGTCCGTTCCTCCCATGATCCAGTCCCCGCTGCAACCAAAGAGAACTGGAAATCTTTATACAAGTGAAGGGCTTCAAGCCTCGCTTTCAGATTTGGACGTCATGTTTGATTCTGATTCTCCAGTGGATGATGTGAGTTTAGGCTTTGTTTTATGTTAATTTTTTAGGTATTTTTCTCATATATGGCATTGAAATTGAAATTTGTATTAATAAGGCTCTTGCTATAAATTGGTAAGTGTGTCATTAATTTGCAAATAACTTTCATTTTTCCAGGTCGCATTCCCTGACCATACTCCACCTGGTTCTAACAAACCCCTGGAGGGCCCGAGGATACAGCTGCAGTTTTGAACAACAAGAACAATGCTAGTGGTAACAAAACCAGTGTTAACACTAGCTTAGTGGAGTTGACAAAAATGTTTCCAACACCTCCCTCCCATGAGCATAACCCAGACCATGACACCACCATGGAGGATGCTGTGCCACAGGTCATCAGCATCAAACAGGAGCGAGTGGATGATCTTAGACCACTTCATTCACAGGAGCAGGCAAACCTGCCTGCTAGAGACGAACCGAAAGAAATGTTGGCTGTTTATCGGCCTCCTACTCTTTCAATGTTTGTTGGCTCCCGCAAGTATGCTCCACTAACCAACTTACCAAGTCAGGAGTATAAACAGTTGTGACACTTCCTCCTGATTGGGCTTACAAACCTTCATGGCAGTTCCCAGTTGCTGAGAAGCCCCACGGACCAGCTCCTACATTGGGCCACATGGGTCCACTCCATGGAGGTCCTCCATCAACTGGACAAACACAGAAGGTGGGCTTGTCTCCCATCTCACCCATGACTTCAAGTTTGGGTGGGCCAGTATCGGACAGTGGCCCAGGGTCTCAGCGTGGGCCAGGCAGTGTGGGAGGCCCAGCTTCTGCAGGACCACCCATGAATTATGAGCTACCATCCCCTGCATCCAACCAGTCATCTTACCTCAACAAGACACTGCCATCAGTAGAGCCACCAAGCATGGGCTTAGCCAAGTACCTGAAGCAAATTCCCTTATTGTTAACATCGCTCTGCAGGACTCGAGCGTCAACTTGTTCAGAGATCACAACTTTGATTCGTGCACAATGTGTGTCTGCAATAACAACCAGAAAATTGTTGGAAATATCCGTGGAAAGGATGGAGCTCTATATTTACCACCTACCCATCTTAGTTTAGAAGAAGAAAGTGCAAGTTGCAGTTGTGGTTTCTCTGCAGTAGTTAATAGAAGGGTTGGCCTTTCAGGCTGGATTATTTTATGAAGATGAAGTGGATCTTACTGGCCTCCATGAGGCTTTGGTCAATGAGCGTAAAAAGCAGTCTTTACTCATGCTGATGGACAATAAGAATGCAGACAATCCTGAACGTGATACCAGTATTCTAGATCAGATACCTCAGTCTATGTACCAGCTGTTACAAAGCCAGTGCTTAGTAACTTTAAGTACTCCCTCTAGTGTCATTTATAGATCAACAACAGTGTACCAAAATAATAGACGAGACATTATGCTGAACTTAGTGGATTATAAAGATGGTAATGAGATTGCAAGCTTGGCTGTAGAACAGTCACGAGGTGTTAATGTGGGTGAAGGTGAAGTGAACTCCCCTTCAGCAAGACATCAGTGCATGCATAAGTGGTGCTACTACCAGTTCGATGGTCCCACATGTTCTAGGGACATAGTGCGTTGTATGAAGGCCCTCCAGCCTCACCTACAAGAGGCCATACAAAAGAAGGGAAGATGGGTGAACTTATTCAGTGTTGAAGGGCCCCTCACGTGGAGGCAGTTCCACCGCAAGGCTGTTAGAGGCAATGAGGATATTGCTGAACCATTGCCTATTCCTATGTTATTGACAGGCCATGACCGAGACTGGTTGTCCATAGCACCACAATCCCTTAGACACTGGGAAAAATTACTTCTTGAACCTTACTCACAGCAGAGGAATGTGGCATATGTTGTGGTTGCTCCTGATAATGAATTTATACTCAATCATGTGCGCACATTCTTCAAGGAGTTGTCATCTATATATGAGGTAAGTTTTATATTTTGCTTTTATATGATGATAGTTGTATACAAATTCAGATTTACAGAGAATTTAGTAAAAGTTAAAAAAACAGATAGGCATATGAACTTATAACAGGAACTGGAAAGAAATAGCATAATAAGGGCAGTCAAGAGATGCTAAGGAACCATTTTTTGATATTACAACTAGATGGTGCTATAGGAGTAAAGATAGAGAATACAAGTGGGACAAAAGGGAATGTGTTAGATATAGCAAACACTTTGTGTATGAGTTTGCAAGATCACATTGAAAATACTACTGCAGGAAGTGGCTGTAGTGCAGCATGGAACTGCAGTCAGAGTATTAATAGAAAGTGTTAAAAAGATGGACAGATACAAAGAGAAGTTTGATGTTTTTTTGTTTTTGGTTTTGTGTGTGTGTGTGTGTGTGTGTGTGATTTATATACTGATTTGTATAACCTAATCGTGTCAGTACAGGCACAAAAGGGGAAACTAAGGTTCAGTAAAATTTAGTTGATCGTTGTTTTATTACAAGAAATATGAGATAGAATGGTTTAGAATTATGATAGATGAGGAGTTGTGTAGGTTAAGAGAAATTGTAATGTCTGAATGACAAAATTATTTGGAAATTTGAGAGAGAGCAAAGTGTGCATGGATTAGTATATGTGAGAGTATACTGATCATGGTCACACTGTTCTTCATTTAACAACAGAAGTATCACAGTTTTTTGTATGTAGCTTTGATGTTGCTTATTAAGAATTATCTGATAATTGAATATCATCATATGTGCAAGAGTGTCGGCTTTGTATCTGTACTTGGCATAACCTGTTTTACTCTGTATGTTTGAAATGACATTGAAAGTTGAATAGAATAGCATTCAAAGTATAATTAGTTTATAAATCAAATATATGTAAATTCTTTTAATGAGAATTTGGCATTTTTTATTTTAGGCTTTTGATTGATTATATGAAAAGTGTTCATACTAGATATTATATTGTAAGAATTAAGCCTTACCCAGTTTTTAAGTGTTGAACAGTATATATGCAAATTTGTTTATGAATCCATTGTTTGTATCATTGTTTAGTACAGTGTTTTGATCATAATGTTAACTTTAGTAAAGAATATCTCATATGCATATATACTTTGATTCTAGAGTAAGCTGTATTTTAAATAATTTCATTACTGGCTAGATGAATATCTGCTTTTTGTTACATATTATAAAACTGAATTAGTACTCTTGTAGACATTCTTGTGGGCATTTGTGAATATTTCTTTTAACGATTAAATCTGTTACGTGTTTAAGAAAAGCCATGAAAACATACAGGGTCATCAAAACTTAATAAATGTTCTATTTATATAGAACATATTCCTTGTGATGAATTTGTTCTTTAGTGTTGCTCATTTTTGTTTGTGGAATTTTGTATAACAAAACACTTTTGCTGTTATAGTTGTGCAAGCTTGGTCGTCATGCCCCCATACAACGAGTCCTGAGAAATGGCATAATGAGGATAAGCAAAACTGCAGCATCCAAAGTAGCCAATGAGCCATTAGAGGAGTGGTTCTCCCTCTTGGGTGACTCCCATGTGTCCACCAACCTCAAAGTTTACGCACAGGTGAGTTTAGTGTGTTTGGACAATTGTTTTGAGTAATCAGTCTTTCAGACTTCATTCCTCTCATAAACAGTGATTTTTTAATTTATTTGCCCTTCCTCTGAATGTTGTATTTTTTCCTTCAGGTTTGTCGGTACTGGTTGGCCCCACACCTAGCAATGCTTAGTATGGACAAGACTCTGTTTGAAGCACCAGGACCCAACAGACCTGCAGAGAGGCAAGCTCCATCACCAATGCCTCCTCCCTCATCAGAGAACATGGGGAACACCAACCCCTCACAACACCCACGTCAAACTCGGAGCCGGAGTCCTTCTCCTCCTCTTCCTCCTCATCATCTTCGTCTTCTTCATCATCATCTTCCTCCTCCACATCCACCTCATCATCTTCTGCAACTTCTACCTCTGGCACAGTAAGTTAGTCTTGTGTTCAGAAAGTACCATAAGTATTGCCATTTCTAACAAATTGAGGAAGATTATTGACTAAATTGTTGACATTTATGTAAACTCTTTCACCAGGAACATTTGATGACTACTGTAGTTTTTTGTGAATTGCTTTTATGCATAGATGGCTCAATTAGTCAATTATTTGGCCTATGTGACCTCACCTGATTTCCCCTTTCCCATTGTTTTCTTTAAAAGTCTATCTCTAATGCTTTTGATATTGAAAAATATTATTGTTGAGGAACCATCCATGTGGAAATTCAATTTGATAACTAAAATTTCAGTGGACAGGTCATATACGTACATGCCATCCCCAGCAGCATTTTTTATCGAGTTTTTGAAATTTACAAGAGCTATTTATCTTAGCAGCCAGGTAACATCCCGCTGGGTGCAAGTCTAAATGAAGTAGAGGAAGACGACTCCCCTCCTCCAGCCATTCTTGTCTACTTGGTGGACCCCTTCAATGTTGGGCAAGACCACCCTGACATGCACCGCTTGGTTACCTTAGGGTTGCTCCGCTGCTACGAACACATGCTGGAGGGATTGACTGAGAGCATGCAGAATAATGTGTATCTCCAGGTGAGTTGTTTGTGGTTAATTCTTATTGATTGATTTAACCCCCTGGATCCGGTTGCAATGGTTATGTAAGTGGCCAGCATCCCAGGCGTGTGGTGTGTAGACCGGGTGCCCACGAACCCCCATGAGCGGTGACAAGAATCCGTGCTCCCTTTGAGAAGTTATTTTGTGAAAACTTTTTTAGTTTTATTGCCATTTTCCAATGTCCATATTTGTCTTTTGATTTGCTTTATCAGAGATGGTAATTATATATTTTCCTTGCACGGACTCCATATCATATCTCTATGTAGTAAATAGCTCAGTGCAAGAAAAAAGAATATGGAACATTTGGTTATTTGTCATATATCATTTTTTGCAATTTTCAATTTTACACAATACAACCTGTGCGCCGGTCACAGTGGCCAGGAATATGGTTCTCAGCATGGAAATGGCGTCCTCCCTGGAGCTGGCATTCTTTCAGGCACTGCTTACGCACATTACATTCCACATTCGTTTATCAATGGGAATAATACTAAAGCTCCCTTCTAAGCACCAAATGAGTCAAATCATACTCCAAGAGGTTTGTGCACTCGTGGTGAGTCTTTTCCGCCATCCTGGTCTTTGCTCTTGACGCTTTGTTCATGTCACCCATGTAGCTGCCCAAGTTTTTCCCTGACATGATCGCAACGTCATCCGGGTCCAGGGGTTAATATATGCAACATGGTAACTATGTGAAGTCCACCCTGAATGATTTTGAGTACATTGGCCCAGTGCTATATAGTGTTCGATAAAGTTGATTTCTATTGTGTAACCTGTATGATCATCAAACTAGTACACTTATTGTAAGTACTTTATGGTGGTGTATATATATTGCCAAGGAAAAAGGAGGTTGATCAAGTAGTCCATTATTATTTATTTCACCTTTTCCCTTTGTCAGATTGTCTCATTGGAGAGTATACTGGAGTTGGCCAGTGACTCACATGACCGGTCCCACACACATAGACCAGCTCAAGAGTCTGGCCTTCTCTGTGTTCATGCAGTGCAGAAGAACTTTGACTCATAATGCAACAGTCAAGTCCCTAACAGGTTTTGGACCTGCTGCTGCATATGATGATTTCCTCAAGCCTAAGGAAGCTAGTGTAAGTTTTCAGCTATGAGCTCAAAATAGACAAAAGTTAATGAATCATTTTGCATTTTTTGCATCTTTACACCCAGATGTATGTAAGCACAGCATACTTTTACATGGTACAAGTGTATTCATGCATACAATCTTTCTCTTATAGCTTGCAGCAGAGGAAAAGAGGCAAGCTCCTTACCACATATTCTCCCCTGCATACATTGTTGCCCCCATCAAAGAGAGTCGTGGTACATATAAGGAGGCACAGGAGGCTCTTGGAGCTCCACGTGAAAAGTCAACCATCTTGAACTGCACCTACTGCCTGTCTGAAGATCAGAGATGGCTCTTAGCAACAGCCACTGATGAATTAGGGGAAATTTTAGAGACTGTAACAATCAATATTGAAATTCCAAATAGGTAAGGATTTAAACTCCTCAGGTGTTATGTAAATTATTACTTTCATTTTAGTGTCAATTTGATAATTTTAATGTGACTTTAAGCAAAAGTTTTGAAAGTTTATGGTTTGAAAGAGAGGATCTTATTGATGATTTATCTGATTTACAGGACGAGAAGAAAGAAAGCTTCTGCTCGTCGTTATGGCTTGAAGAAGTTGATGGATTGGATACTTAGTGTGATGTCTATTGGTGTACATCCCTGGCGCCTAGTCGTAGGTAGGCTTGGTAGAATGGGCCACGGAGAATTGAAAGGCTGGTCTTCCCTCCTGTCAAAGAAGTCTCTCATCCAGGCTAATAAGAATCTGAGAGAAATGTGTAAGCAGTGTGCATATCTGTTCCCTGGAGATGCCCCATGCATACTATCTGCATGTCTGGTTGCTATTGAGCCAGACTCATCGTTTAGAATGATGCCAGATATGTTTACACCAGATGAGAGATTTGGACAGAATAGCCAGAACTGTAGCCTGTCAACTCCACAAGATCTCACTTGTACACATATTCTGGTCTTCCCAACTTCTGCTACTGCTCAGGTGAGTGCTATGATAAATGTAGAGTGCTTGATATTTTGCCATAAATATTCATAAAATTCTGTGTTTGTGAGGTTGAGATGGTCACATACTAACCTACTGGTGTTCTCTTTTTACAGTCAGCACAGCAGAGATTCCAGGAGGAGACCACTTTCCACTTTGAGGGTAATGGGTTGTTATTAGATGATGAAGATCTAGAGAACGATATAGGTGGTAGTATAAGTGACATTGGCATGAGCATGGGACTCAACATCCAGGATATCCTTGGACTAGACACCGGGCCTAACCAGGATGACCAGTTAGAAGATGGAGGTGGACAAAGAGACTCCCTATCCCAGCCTGGTAGTCCCACGGCTGGAGTCGGTGGTCGAACCAGTCCCTCACAGTTTTCTGGTCAAGCGCGTAGCAATGGTATAGTCCTGGTTGACCCTGAAGAGGATTCTGGTGGTTCAGTGTTACAACAGCCCTTGGCTCTTGGTTACTATGTCTCCACTGCATCCACGGGTCGGCTGCCGAGATGGTTCTGGTCGTCCTGCCCTCACCTTGAAACATCCTGCCCAGTGTTCCTTAAGTCAGCCCTCCATCTTCACTCACCTGGAATTACACAGTCTGAAGATTTGATCATGAACACTACAAATAACAAGGTCCACCCATTGGATTCTTCTATCACCACTGATGTCCTTAGGTAAGTAGCAAATTACATTCTCCAGAATATTTTCGTCATAAGGTGGTTCTTTAAAACAACAGGATGAATTTAGGGAAATAGCAAAGTATCTTTAATCATTAGCATAAAGGAAATGATGTTGCTTGGTACTCTGGAATAGATATTACAAATGGCACTAGTAGGAAATGGTAGTGATAATAAGTAACATGAATATTTTTTAAGTGCAGGGTAGAGCTACAGTAGTTGAGAGTATAACATAAAGCTAACAAATTCTTTTCTTGTTTCAACAGATTTGTCCTGGAAGGGTACAATGGCCTCTCATGGCTAGTCCTGGATCCTGCCAAACAAGACAGAAGATCTTGCCTGCCATTACACATGCAAGTTCTGTCTCATCTGTACAATGTGATGGCAGCCCTTGTGTAACTACTGCTCTTCTGCAAACACCAAATAAAAATGAAAAGATAAAAAATATATAGACAGAAGCTTGGTATAATAGACCTGCCCTGGTGCAATTAATGGGCATTGTCTGAAACAACTTAATGATATTGTAATTAATTGCCCTTTGACAAAAATTCTGCTTGACTGTTAGATGTAGTAGTAGTTCTTATTTGTTTAAAGATTCTAAATGACCAAAAAATACTAGAATCTCTAAAGACAAATATCCTTTGTGCAGTATTTCTTGCCCAGGGCAATATGTCATTGAGTTCCAAGCTTAGTGAATTTCGTAGTGTAAAGACTGAAACATCATTGAAGAAAGGTTGAGGCTGTTGTATTCGGCCTGTGTACACTAACCAAAGCATATTTTACTCAAGCGATAAGGAAGTAGAAAGTAATAATCAGTGCCTGGGTGGACATAGAGGTCAAGGTGGGACTTGTTACTGCCTGGCCTGCCAAAACAGAAAAGCTGTGAATATTACCAGATACCTAAATGACCAAAGTGTTTGGGAAACAGGGCTGTATGTCTAAGAGATGCATAATGATTCCTAATGCTCAAAGAAAGGTCTTACCTCACACAACTAGCATTATCTCAAAGATGACTGTAAATACTTAACTTATTATGGCCATAAGTCCACCACAATGCAATCAAAACAGTCCTGCCTTATGATAACATGGACAACCATAGAGAAATTAATGGGTGGATAAACTTTGAGGAGCACAAGAAAGGCATCATGGTGTAAAGAAATGCTCATTTCACAATGATTGTAAAATGGAATCACAAGTGTGAGTTAACGGCCAGAATAAATACATATGGGCCACTGGTATCGTGGGCTGGGCGCCGTAAACCAGTGCATTGTTAGTGACTAGTATCCAAGCAGGATTGTCTGTGATAATGAGTAACAGATTGAATGTACTTCGTAATTGGATATTTATGCCTTTTATTATTAACACTTGTTTCAGCACAGGTTGGTGCTGTTAATTTCAATAATGTAAATAGGCAGTGGTGTTGTACAAGCTGGGTGGGTTTGGCCTCTTCCACGCCCTGACTTGCTGTTTCCCAGAGGCTCTCAGAGTAGTAGTGTACAGTAATGTTGATTGTACACCTGTGTACATGTTGCCTCATGCACCTGAAGCCAAATTGTATATAAATAGTGTGTCAGGTGACTCCTAGATTTGGGGGTAAAGGCTCGGCAACAGCATCTCAGTGGCTTTCGGGGCCCCCTCCCTCTCCCCTCCCCGCCCCTCCCCCCACTGCTCTCATGTACAGACTCTAGGTTATGTGTACAGTGAGACACAAGTTTTACACCTCGTGACTGTTTATACAAGTTAAGTATTTTCCCCCTGATGCAGCCACCTCCAATCTTCATGCAAATGGAGGGGGTTGTGGTGTAAAATATTTCTGGCAGTAAATTCTATTGTTTATTTTGAGACTAACTATAAAAAACATAAAAATCAAGTAGCATCTAAGGGTAGATAGTTTAAAGAAAGTATTTTACAAATGGAACATTTGTACAAGGAGTGTATTTTAAAAAATGGTTAATAACCAAAAGGGAAGATGGCAGAAACCTTCCAACGGCAAGTATCGGCTTCTCTCGTCCCTGGGCCTCAGAGTCTGGCAGTCAGGCAGCTATCTCTTCCCAGAGCCCTCGGCCATTGCTGTCTTTGCTGTCCGCCTCGCCGTAAACATGTTGTACTGAACCCCGCCAGAATGTCTTGGTACTGCAGTTCTCATATTTTGTCTCTCGCAGCATGACAAAACTTTGCGAGGAGTCCATCAGTTGAAGCATTGCAGTGACTTTGGAACATTAGAGGAATGCAACATATTTTTGCGATGGTGAAGACACAAATTCATGCAGCCTACAATAATATGGGAGTCATGCCTAAGGGTGCCCAGGTGGGTCGAAAGGGATTGAGAATGAAGACAAACTTAATGCACTTTTATGCATTCTTCTGAGGTTGGGACAGCCTTACGCCAGCCAGGGTGTGTGTGGAGCAATCTATTTATGTGCGTCTCGTTATTTCTGACCTGCCTACCTGTCGACCTGTCTACTAAAAATGGAGTGTGTGGAGATTTACAGTTGTGTTTACATTTTTAAGGAGTAGGGTTTTTACAGTGAAATTTTATATGTACTATTTTATTTGTGAACAACTTTTGACTCTATGCAGTATTTTAGACAAAAGAGTATTTGCTTGTGTATCATCAGGTAATGAAGTGACTCTGATACATGAAAGGCAAAGCTAACGTTGATTCTCAGTCCAATTAACAAAGAAAATTCTAATTAGTCATTATTTTTTACAAATCTTCTTTTGTATGGAAATTACAAATTGACTCTGCAATAACCAAGTTGACTAGATGCAATCACATTTTTAGTATTTGAGATAAGATATATTGTAGACAGATTACAGGTCTTAGGCTGCCATGGGGCTAGTGGCAGCTTCCCTCCTCTTCTTGCTCAACAGCTCTTCTGGTTTTACTCCTCTCTCTCTTTGCTCAACAACTGTCTGTCTGTCTCATATTACCATTTTTGTTTGAAGACTGACAAATCAAAAGAAGTCCTTGATAACAAGTAGTCTGATATTTTTACACAAAATGTTACTTAGACTGTTCGTATTATATTGATTATTATTTTTGTTTATTGTTTGTAAATACAATGGAAATGCTTTTATCATTGGACGCCAGTCAGTTTTCTCTAGTTAAGTCAGTTCAAATTTGTCAGTGCCCCATTGCGTTACCTACTCTGCTACAGTGGCATGTGACCCAAGCCACATAGCGATGAGAAAAAAATGCCTTTATTATCTGTTGACTTTTTAAATTCCGTTGTGCATGATTTTGTAGGTGATTAACACAGCCTCCTTGATAATTGTCAGATGTTTAATGCTGCTGCACAACTGTTATGTTTTTTATTTTTTTTATTTTTTTTATTTTTATTTTTTGGATTAACTCCCTCCACTCTTTTTTTCCTGTGTATTGTTAGTTGTGGGTAGCTGCTCTGGCCAGAGTGCTGTATGAGTGGTGGTGCGAGAATGACAAGAGTGAAAGTAAGGGGGAGTGAGCTCCAACTCACCCCGCTGTCATTATTATCATTGGTATAAAATACAATTTTATGTGTATATAAGGTGTTTATCTTAACCCCCCATATGGTTCAATTCTTACATCAGAAACTGTTGCAAAGGATTTCTAAGTGTAGCATGCAAACCTTGGGACTTCTGTGATTTGCTCAACATACACGAGCAATTGAGTTGAAATTAAGTTGGTTTTATCATATTAGTAATGCTATATTACCTTTGATACCTAGCACATTTATTTGTTTAGAACTAATAACTTATTTTATTAGATGACAATGGACTAATTTACCAAACAATTTAGTATATATTTACCAATGCCCCATGTCAACAGA